CCCAGTTCTGTCTGCATAAATAAATAAGTCTTTAAAAAAAATAAAAGTAGGTGGGCTCTCCTTTGGATTTTGATCCAACTAAGGCTTCTTTGGGTCTTAATTCTAAAGTTATTACATTGGATCAGACATAAAATTTTAGAGTGCCTGACTTTCTGACTTTTATGTCTTTCTCCCCTCCACCCCACCCTCCTTCAGAGAGTTTTGGTTCCCACATCAGAGACAACGCGTCTTAGATACTTCACAGAGTTATTGCTGAAGAAAGGACAGCCACTGATGCTAATAGGAAATGCTGGGGTGGGAAAAACAGTGTTTGTCAGTGACATGCTGGCAGGTCTCTCTGAGGACTACATGGTGTCCCGTGTGCCTTTCAACTATTACACGACATCTGCAGTTCTGCAAAGTAAGAGTCTCTCCAGTTGATATTCAGAAATGAGATCAGAACTTTTTAAGGTTTGTATGCTTTCTAGGCTTTAGACATTTTGTTTAGGTCTCAGATGAAGTTTTTCTTACCACTGTTTTTGGTAAGGTGCTTTGTTTAAATCCTGGAATTTCTCCTTTGAGTCATTCATCACTTTAATAAGGATATTACTATTCAGACCAGCAAGAATTTACACCAGCCACATTTATTGCTTCCCTCTAAAGCATTTAGGTCACTTTTAGTCATGTACATGGAACCCTAGCCCCATGGGAAAAGGGCTCAGGTTGCTTTCTCAGGTAAAATATTGATTTAGAAAAAAAATTGCTAAAGAGCTTACTGATGAGAAATGCACTGGGCTATGGTGATGGCACACGGGTGATTTGGTGTTTGGGAAGCCCACAGGGGTTACAACTGAGATGGAAAAATGCACAAAATGATGTAAAAATAAACTATTTATTAAAAAAAAACTTTACTGATGAAATGACAGGCAATGAGCTATTTAATTAGAACTTAGAAGAATGATTGTCTTATCATTTTCAACTGTTGAATATATGCATCAGTGTAAACAACACCACCACAGGTTTGGAGCAATTCCCACGGTTGGGGGGCAAGGCCCATAGGCCTGAGTGTAGTGGAGAAATACTATAAAAAGCTGATAATTGGGGGTTTCTCACTCTGACCAGTGGAGTAATGAAGTGCTCTGGAGGAGGGAGGGCAGCAAAGCTCCTATTGTCTAGTTTACTAAACCTGTTGAATGCCCTGAATGCAGCTTGTGTGCAGTGTGTTCATGGGCAGGTGCTGTTGTTATTTTCTTAATTTAATCAATGGAGATTAATAATATACTTGCTGACATCAGTAACTCAAGAGTGATTTTTCTCAACTCTCTAAGTTTATCTTCCAAAGTTATGTAGGCTTGTGAAGAAATGTAACTTCACGTAAGTACAGGGTAGGTTCTAAAATCCATTTCCTCTTGTACTTCTGCTCTCTGATGACTGAAGAAGAGAGGTGTGAGCAACCCCTTGGCTGTTTGTAGACTCTCTTGCAGGGGTCTTCAGGTGGGAGGCTGGGAGTAGGTCATGTGCTGGGGTGGGCTTAAGGGAGGACAGACAGTGGCAGTGACTCACATCTGATGGCTAGTGTGATGTAGGCTACAGATGTTGCAGCTCTAGGTGCCCCCCGAAAGGAGGGAGGTTGATGGGAGAGTGTGACAGCTAGGAAGGTGACCAGCAACGAGTCTCTTATAAAGAAGTGATACTTGAAGCCATGGAGTGGCTGAATAGACAGAAAATGAGAAAAAGGTCTAAGGACAGGTTTACCTTTTATCTGTGATCGGTAGATGAAATTACATTCTTGTTTCAGGAATTCTTGAGAAACCTCTAGAGAAAAAGGCTGGTCATAACTATGGCCCTGGGGGAAATAAAAAATTGGTTTATTTTATTGATGACGTGAATATGCCTGCTGTGGACTCATATGGCACTGTTCAGCCCCACGCACTTATTCGGCAGCATATTGATTATGGACACTGGTAAGCAAGTCTCTACTTCATTCTCCGCTGAAATCTGATTATTGTTTGTCATTACTAATACACATTTAACGTGGCATTACCCCAGTCTCTTCATTTGAAGAGCATTTCCTATAATAGCTTTTGAGTTTTCATTCACTTGTCATCATCAAATGGAACTGTTTCAGTTTGTATCTTGGAAGAATGGCGTTGAAAAGTTCATGAACACATAGTCTTCCCAAATCATGTCTTCTGTAAGTATTAACTCACACTCAGTTGCTGATGAACAGCTTGACCTTACCTTGGGGGTTATACCTAGTTCGCAGCACTTGGGAATTGCAGTCTGCAATCCTTGCCTAACTCCAGCGAGAATCTGCAGGCTTGCTATGGGTATTCCTCACCAGAAATGGTTATGTGAAAATCAATAGCAGTAAGAAGATGTATTGACTCAGCCCTTGATCTTAATTTTGGTATCAAAGGAGCTATGAAGCCTTCAGTTTTCCGATCTTCAGTTTTTATGTCTCTCAACATCTCAGAGCGATTGTAAAGATCAGAGACAATTTGTAGTGAAGCCCTTTGTGGTGAACTGGTGGATTTTGCCAGGGTGTCGTCTCCTGTTGGATTTCAGGCTCTTGTTTTCTTTCTTTCAGGTATGATAGACAGAAGGTGATGCTTAAGGAAGTCCACAATTGTCAGTATGTTGCCTGCATGAATCCCATGGCAGGCAGTTTCACAGTCAATCCCAGGCTACAGGTGGGTGCTGAGTACTGCCTTTTTCCAAAAAGCCCCTAAATCTAACAGTCAAACATTGTACATTGCCTCTTGGTGTTTTATAGATTAGGACACCTACTGGACATTGGGTTGAGCACATCCACTTTTTAAAAAAATTGACAGACTTTTTAAAAGACCAGCTACAGAGTTTCTTCTTCATCCCTCTCTCCAACTCATTGTACCAATTACAGGCATAGAACATTAACATCTGTTAAATTTGATAAGGTGGGCCCTCCCTGGTGGCACAATAGATTGGGATGCAGCACTGCAAGCCAGCCACAACCACTCCAGTACCAGTTTGATCCTTGGCCCTGGAGGTGACCACGTGGCGCGGCAGACCTCTGCTGACCCTCTCACTGCTCCCCTCAGCACTGTACTTCATCAGTCAGCCTGGTCTGCTTCCCGCTCTGTCTCTGGTGAATCCTCTCACTGCCTCTGCACCTCTGGCTTGTACCCAGTTCTGTATGCACAAATAAGTAAATCTTAAAAAAAAAGAAAAGAATTATGACAACTTTATAAAAAATTGATAAGCCATTGTTGATACATTCTAACATTGTTATTAAAGTCCAGAATTTACATTAGGGTCATTTCTTTATGTTGTGCATCCTACAGATTTAGGAACATACATGACAAGAACTCACCATCAAAGTTTTATACAGAGTAGTTCCACTGTCCTAAAAATACCCTGTTTCTATACATAATCTTTCCTCCTTCCCTCTGAATCCCTGGCAGCCACTGAGACTCTCTCTGTCTTCATAGTTTGTCTTTTTCCAGAATGTCATATAGTTGGAATCATGTAGTAGCTTTTGCATATTGGCTTCTTTCACTTTGCTTAAATGTGCATTTTGTGAGTCCTTCATGTCTTTTCATGGCTTGGTAGCTCCTTTCTTCTGACAACTGAGTAATCATTGTATAGATGCGCCACAGTTTACTTAACTATTGAAGGACACCTTGGTTGCTTCCAAGTTTGGGTAGTTTTTTTTAAAAAGCTGCTATAAACACTTATATGCACATTTTTGAATATGTATGTAGCTTTTTAATTATAACAATCATTACCAACAACCATGCACATACAGCAGTAGTGTTGCATACTCATTTATCTGGAGCCAGCAAGTTGATGCTGGTGACATGTGCCTGAGTGTTGACTGTCAGCTGCTCTCGTGTAGCTGTGGCTGTAGTGATCAGACAACCCGGCTCTCCTACATGTGTCTCGTCCTTCAGCATGCGTGTGGAGAAGGGAGAAATTTAAGAGAGCGGTTGGAAAAACACCAGTCTCTCACAGTGAGTGGGACTCTCTACATG